TTTACTATTAATAAAACAATATAAAGGTTTATAGGACGGGCTAGCGAAATTATTAATATTTTATCTAAACTAACGCCGGAGGGGTTTAAAATATAGGTTCTTGCGAATTAAGGCTATGTTCTCGATTAGCTATAGCATGCTAAGGGAGATAAAAAAGGCCCTATTAACCTTAATAAATTATTTCTTATAGAAGGCTTTACTAAAATATAAGCCGTTATGCTTAATCTTTTAATACAACGTAATTTTATTATAAATTAACCCCTTTATCCACCTTATAAGTATATAGTTTAGCTAGATAATTTTTTTTCTAATATAAAGCTATTTAAGAGGCTCCGTAAGCTTAGAATAGGAGTAGCTAGTACTGTGCGTATAACTAAAATAAAGAGAGAAGAAATAGAAGGAATTAAAATAAATATTATTACTATTAAGGAATAATCTAGCGCTTTACAACGCTAGATAAAGAGGAAGAAGATTAAGCCTGTGGAGAGCTTTTCTCTATCGCTTATAGACCTTAAGTTAAGCTATAATAGGCAAATTCCGTAGGGCACGCTATATAGCGAATTGTTAAAGAGTTATAAGGTAATAGAATTCGCCTAGAAAGATATAATAATAGTCTTGTTCCTGTTTACTATATATAATAGGAAGGATTATATTACTAAGCTACGGAAATAACCTATAAAAACAGCTATAGGATATTATTAAACGGTAAAAATATTTAGTAAAAAGGCGCAGGCGTAGCTTAATATTCTAGTAATAATTAATAAGTATAACCTCTAGATATACGGCATAGACGTGGTAGACTAGATACGCAGCTATTATAATATAAATTATATTTATAGAAAGATATAGAAGCTACTATAAAGTTTCCTATTAGATATAGTTATAGGTAATAGCTATATACTCTTATTATACAGGCCCGAGCCGGGCTTAGGCAAGCGCGTATTACGCTAAAATACTTATCTATAATTCTATTAAGACCTATAAAATAAGCTCCTATATATATCTATTCGCTATCGCTAGCAAAATTCTATATAGAAAGCGAAGGGGCCTATAGATTTTATTTAGAGACCGGTTAATAAGTATTAGTATATTAAAATATTTATAAAACAACCCACCTACGCCGGCTGCTTAGCTAAGCACCGCGCAACTTTAAAGCCTTATTTTAGCGCTTAAAAAGCTCTTACTAAGCTATCTATTAATATAATATAGAAGAAGTAAAAGGATAGTAGGGGGTAGAAACGCCGTAAAAGGCCGCTAAAAACGAATTAGGGCTATTCTATATGCAATATTCCGTTCTATAGAAAGGGCACGTGCTGGAGTAAGTATATAGCCCGGCTTAATACTATTACCTAGCTCTATAAGCAGATATATATATAGAAATCACGAATTTAAGTCTTTTTATCTTTCTATAGCTTTTATACTTAGGGGCCGATGCGGTGCATCTAATTAGTTATAAAAAGTGGCCCGAGCGTTACGCCTTAATTAACGGGTTAAGGAATAGCTGTCCGATTCTACTATATTATCTAAAAATTTTTACTAGGAGAAAAGGGGTATTATTATAGGCTACGCCCTAGACTTCTTTTTATTAACTACCTTATAAGGCTTAGCTTATCCCTTATATTAATTTAAACTAACGCAGTACTAATTTATATAGCCTATCTAACTTATATAGCCTGCTAGTTTTATAAACTTAGTATAGAATTAGTTCTATTCTAAAAACCTAAATTCTATACTAAAACTAGCTAGGCTGTTCCACTCTATCTAATTTATAACGCCTTAATTTATCCTTTTTATTTACGTTATCCGTCCTAGTTTATAAGCCGTTACCAGGACCTATTCTAAGATTAAATTTCTATTTCTAGGAATTGGCTAGGCTGCCCCACCCTGTCCGATTTATTAAACCGTATACTAATATATGTTTTTACAACTTAACTACTTAAATAGCTGCTTAATTAGCTATATATTCTTTCCGTTTTATATAGCCTTCTATAAAGCCTTTTTTATATTACGGCACAGCAATATAGCACGATATTATAATATAAGTATAATAATACAGCACGATAATATAGCACGGCAATACTGTATAGAAGAGGATAGAACGGTTATATTACTTTTTTAATAATAAGGTATATAGGCAGCGTGTATTTATAGTTTAGATTTTTAATAAATTCTTCTTATACTTAATATAATCTATTGTTTTAGGCCTACAGCCTTTATAACTTTGCCTTTAAATATAGCCTTATATAAAAAAAATAGCCAATTTAATATACTATTTATAAAAGTTAGTAGCCGGTGCAGCACTTAGAAAATATAATTATTTAAGGTGTTTATACTCGCAGGCTAATATATATAGCAGTGCTGCTTATAGAAAAAGTACTAGAATAGGCCCTAAGGAAGTAGATAATATAATATATAAGAATTAACCGCAGTAGTACTTCTGCTAGTATTTATTAGCAGTATTAAAAACAGGTTAAATATAGCTTTATTTAGAGTTATAATCTTGCTAAGCCTTTTTAAACTAGAGGCCCTTAATCTATAGGTTAAGAAGTATAGTAGTATAGTAGGTAGGCAACTTAGTATTAGCTTTAAGGTAGTATTTCTTACACTTTTTCTATACTATTAATATATAGCTAGTAAGGTAAAGCTAGGTATTAGTATTAGAATATTATATAGTATTCTCTAATAACTCTGTAAATTTATATTATAATATATCTAGAAAGTTTAAAAGCTAGTTAAGCATTTAAAAGTAATTACTAAGTATTATTTTATAACTTTTAACTATTAGAATAGCCTTATAAAAGGCTTCTAGGCTATTATAGAAGTATTTAAGCTGTTTTTAGTACTTTAGCTTTAGTATATTATTCTTCTAGAGTCTTTTTATATTATTATTTAGTTTATATATTCTATAAAACTCCTAAACGCGTTTTTTATAGTTAAAAAAGCAGCTAATAGCTATAAATAGCAAATTCTATTATATTTAGTTGTTTTAGATAAGCTAGAGTATTAAATTAGCCCTAGAAATCTTATAATAGGGCTGTAGTATTAAGGTTTAGAAGGCTTAGTAAAACCCTAGATTTTAGATTATCTATTTTTCCAGCACTATACTAAGGTAGGGCTGGCCAGATATTTACTAAATTTATAATTATATATAATTATAAATTTAGTAAATATTATAGTATTAGAAAAATAGATAATTTAGAAAACTTTAAAAATTAAATACTAAAACTTACTTCTAACCTATTCTACTTTACTAGCAGCCTACTTTTCCTAATACGCCGGAAAAAACTATAATACTAAAAACTATTCTATATATACTATATAAGGTTCTATATTAAGCTAATTAACTTTTACTACTTCTAAAGCTACTATACTTTACTATAGTTTTAATTCTAGTATATAATCTAGATCTATCTGCAGATTTTATTTATATTCTAGCTAATAATAAAGTCCTATATATAAAGGTTTATAATATAGCTAAAGCAGTATAGGTAATAAGCTTTATAATACTTTACAGATATATTTAGGTATAAAATCCGTAGAATAAGGTCTACTGCTATATTATTTAACTCTGTATTATCTGCTATAAAATAACTAATATATTTTTAGAAGCTATAGTCTTAAATAACTACTAGTAAGCTCTAGGCTATATTTTTACTACTATAGTTACTAAGGACCTTATAAAGCGCTAGAACTACTATATATTACCTGCCGGCCTTACTAATAAAGTAGCTATATACTCTAAGTATAGTATAACTATTTAGTAATATCTAAAGATTAAAAAAGAGCAAGATTATACTATAAGCGCACCTTAGCTCTACTTTAAGCTTATTCTTCTACTTTTACTAGGTATTAGTTACCTACTTCTAAACTATTAAAGCTGCCTTTAGTAGATACTTATTAAGGCCTAGATATAGAAACTCTAATACTATATAGAAGTAAATATTCTTAAACTAGAAAAATATAATATAATAGTAGATAAACTACTATATAAATAGTTACTTAAAGCTTTTAAATATTGCCTTTATACTAAATAACTACTGCTTACTATACTTATATAGTTTAGGCTAATTTAAGGCTATAGGTATAGCTATATATAGCAGGCCTGTATTTTTATCTATTTAGTGCACCCTAATAAGGTAATTTATAGCAGTAGACCTGCCTAATAAAATAACTAGAAGCTTTTACTATCTATTTCTATACTTATATAGATAGTAGTAGTAGATATCTATACTTTTAATTATTTTTTTCTTAAGTTAAACATTTTTACCCTACTTCTAGTAGTATAATATATATATTTAAGCAGCCCTTAATAAAGTTATAAGGTTTTTATATTATATATATATTTTACTAGTAATCTAAAACTTACCTACTTTTATAGCCTTTTTATAATATAGATTAATAGACTTTAGGGCAAGAATAGGCTGCGCTAAAGGGTTTTTACAGCCTATAATACTAAAAGTATAAGCAATTAAGTAAAAAGGGCGTATAGGGTTATTAGGTGTAGGCGTAGTATTAGCTATAGTAGAATAGGAGTATAAATAGCTTTAAAAACGCGTGCAGGAACGCGTGCAGGAACGCGTGTAATAGGCAGGATAACTTTTCAGGGGATTAGGTTACAGAATACGTGCTAGCTTACTAAAAACAGGACCGAATCCCTTGTCCTCTAGTCTAGCTAGTCTAGCTAGGCTAGGCTGCATACCGGATAAGCAAAACGGGCAGGCTGCACGGGCTGCTGAACCTTAACACCACGAAATCTATCACGAGATTTTGAAAATCAATTGGAGCTCCTGGAGCTCCACGGCTTCGGCTCCACTCCATCCAGGAGCGATTTGAAGCCGGCTCCACTCCAGACTGTAGGGCGCTCCACTCCAGCAGCCTCCAGTCCAGTCCAGCCCAACAAGATCACTGGATGTACAAGCCATCGCGGTAAGTTCTGCGCGGGTGGTCCGGCCCGCATCGCGGTCGGACAATTTTTTGACTAGCTCAAGAAGGTGGTAGGACTAGGGGATGGTCGTATACGGCTCAATCCGTTCATAAATCGTCGGGTTATTAGATCCGACGATGGAGTCAAACATAGCCTTCCCAAGCTTGTCATATACTAGTTCAATCCACATGAATGACTTCAATAGATCCTGCATCTGGGTCCATGATTCGATTTCACACAACCTGAGGCTATGCAGTAGGGAAGGCTTCAGCCACATGTCATCGTTGGCATCAAATACCGACACGGCCCCCACCATCAGAAGCCACACCATGAGCTGCGGCGAGCAGGTTAGATCCGCCAGGCAGCTTCTAAAGGCAGAAGCTAGGTGAGAATAAGACAAGCCTAGATGATTCCATTGAAGGAGGACTTTGGAAGAAAAGGCGAGGAGGCCAAGGCGGACTGCATAGTCACTGGAGCCGAAGTTGAAACGCATGTTGAGGAGGCGATACATAACTGAAGCCATGGTTTCTAGGAAGGTTTCTGTGGAAATACGCTGATCGGTATTTACGGCGAAGTTAATCACGCAGCAAAAATCCCACATGACTCCCCAGGCTTGAGCTAGCTCGCCGTGTATATTGTCGAAGGTTAGGACTGAGTTGGAAGGAGCGTCCAGTTCGAGGAGTAGAGTGAGGTCTGGGTACGGTAAGAAGGGCTCCCCGGGGCCGAAGAACACCGGCCTTGAGTCGCTACAAAGTGCCATTCCCAGATCAGTTCTGTGATAGTCAGAGGCTTTCCGATATGTGAAGGCGCATCGCGAGTGGATAGTCACCTAAGTATTTCCACCAGAAGTTTTGCGTTTGGCCTAAACGTAGTCACCCCCCCTCTCAGGGTGACAATTTTGTGGAGGCCTTCAATGTGGTTTTTGGCGGCCTTGGTGTCGCCTGTGACGAGTGCATGACCAGCAATACTCATGACAGCAGCCAATGTCGTGAAAGAAAGTCTTGCTTGATCGTCATCCTGCGCAAATCTCTCGCGGAGAATTCTGAGTGTCTTCAATAGATGAGGAAATATTCTGTCGTTGGGAGGAAGGGACCTCCGGGGAACTATAGCATCGAAGTAGTGCTGTGAAGTGAAAATCATCGCGTGGAGGAAGGCGGAATCGAACGTAAGAGGCGCTATCCATCCTTCCGCCCTTTTCTCGAAAAACATGCATGCCTCCAGAGGGAACAAAATCTTCTTAGCGATGGAAGAGACTGGGTTGACGTCGGATGAGCCGTTGCCATAACACGAGGGTTGTGGAGCAACTCACACTGCAGAACCACTTCGACTGCACTAGGCTCCACAGCGTCGGGAAAACGAATCGTAGACATGGTTGAACCGAAGTTGCGCGGAATCATGATTGGAGAATGGGTTTGAATCTCATATGCTGCGGTGGTAGAAGCTAAAGGTGCGAGGAGATGCCCGTTGGGGCCGGAGGCGTCTGCATATGTGCACTTGGGGCTTGATGGTGAAGCATCTTGGACTTCACTCTGTCCCTTTTTCTTACGGGGGGGTATTTGGTTTCCCTTATTTTTCCCCAGCATTACGTGACTTCGAATCAGCTTGCGAAGCTCTGGATTGGGCTTCGCTAAATCGGTGGATACGACAAAGTGCAAGCTTGCTGTGTTACGCGAGGGCGAATGAGCAAGGCTGAAGCATATGGGAACCAAGATAATCCCTCGAAACCCTTGCGAAGTACTTACATGACGGACAGGCGGCTGCCATGGCGCGCGGCATGTCCCGAATGTGGAAAACAAAGGGCGGAATACGTTGGGGCGCTGAGGCAGGGTGAAGCGCTAGTCCCTCGGATCGGTACGAGGCGGCGAAGGATGAGGAAAGGGATGAGCTGAGGAAACAGTGTTGATAGCAGGGAACGAGAAGTAGAAAGGTGGAGAGAAAACGAATGGCGCGGATGTCCGGGGGTACGAAAGCTTAAAGTACTAGATTGTATGCCGCTATAGGCCTAGCCAGGCGCCATCCTGTCGAAGATCTCGACGAGATTGTATGCAGTTTTGGGGATAGCGGCGGAACGTCGCCTCGCTAACGTCTCTAGTCTGCAGAACCGACGCGATCATCAGACCTACACCGGAAATGGTATACGATGTCTGTGGTGCACTGACACTTCATTAGATCGGATGTGGCATGATGCTGCTGTATCGAGGACGAGGCACTATTCAAACACGTGTACACCGTCTTCTCACGTATCATGATTGGTAGATGCCTCCTTCCAACCCCCTTGCGGAGCGCTTCGGGGATGCCTTCGAACGGCGGGACTCGTAAAATACCCATGCTCTATCCTCGAAGTTCCCCCGGGTCATGCCTTTGAAGTCGGAGTCGGAGAGGAGCGTGGGCAGCCCCGGTATATATCGCGAGGCACGCATCATCTCTCATCTTCACCAGAATCCAACGTTGCCATCTCATTCCTCTCCGGGCCCTATAATCTATCACCTCAATCTAGTTTCCTCAAGAGCCAGTTGTTCGAACACCCAACCCCGTACTGTTACCATGGTCGGCTCCAAGGACCTCCCGCCCTCCCACACGCCTTTCTTTCCCAACATCTTCTTCAACAATCAGTTCCGCGCCAAACCGCAATGGCCAGCCCCAGGCACGACTCTCGCTGGCAAAACTGCCATCATCAGCGGCGGCAATACCGGACTCGGATATGAGGCCGCAGTCCAGCTCCTGGGGCTCAACCTCTCTCATCTCATCCTCGCCGTCCGAACCCCCGCGAAGGGCGAGGCAGCGGCCAGGACGCTCAAGCAGCTGCATCCGAAAGCGAACATCGACGTCTGGGAGCTGGAGATGAGCTCCTATGACTCGATTCAAGCATTTGCCCGCCGCGTCGAGAGCAAACTGTCGCGCATCGACATCGTCATTCTCAACGCGGGCACTCTGCGGCTCTTCTACACCACCGTCAAGAACAACAGCCACGAAGAGTGTCTGCAGGTCAACTACCTCTCCACCATGCTGCTTACCGTCCTCCTCCTCCCGATCCTCAAGGCTAAGCGGGATCCGGGGCAGCCGGCGCATCTGACTATCGTCAGCGCTGCACTCACTCTAGCTGCGAAGTTTGCGAACCGGGACGCGAACCCTCTATTCCCGGCTCTCGATGACTCTAAGCAGTTCGACCGGCAGGAGACGTACAACACGTCCAAGCTACTCGCGCATTTCTTCCTTTGGAACCTCGTCGACTACATCTCTGCCGACGATGTCATTGTCAACTTGGCTGATCCGGCGTGGTGCAAGGGCACGGAGCTAGCGCGCGACGTCAAGGGCGGGGCGAAGATAGGTGTCAAGATGTTTGGAGCCCTGACCGGGAGGACGCAAAAGGTGGGGGCCTCGTGCTTTGTCGATGCGGTGGTGAACAAGGGCAAGGAGTCGCATGGGTGTTTTCTCATGAGCTGGCAGATCCACCCGTAAGATACTTACTGCCATTTCGATTCGTTCCGGTGCCATGCTAAAGTCTCGCCCAGTTTTGCCGCCTTCTTGTACACTCCTGAGGGCAAGGTCGTTAGGCAACGCGTCTGGGAGGAAACGATGGCGGAGCTTCACTTTGCTGGAGTTCGCGGTATTCTGGAGTCTATAAGGGCATAACGGAACAAAGCTTTAGGAAGACCGCTCTGTTTAATATAGATGTAACGGGTCGTCTCTTCTATACTTTCCAAGTGCTCACACAAGGCCAAGTACAGGTCAAGTCGTCGTCGGGGTGCGATAGTCTTCAAGAGGTAAGACAAATCAATCTCAGGCATAAGACGGGTTACTTCCAATAGGTAGTATTAAAGTCTTAAGTTGAACACGAGGTTCCTATCTACAAGAATAAGTGTGCTTAAATATAAAAGACAACTCCTAAGAAATCTATATGCTCGTGGGCTCGTCCGCGAGCCAGCTCGTCGCGCTCGTCGCGAGCTGCTCGATTTATCACGTGACCTCTATCCCGTGACCTTGTAGCTAGTCAGGGGAGTCCAACACGCTAACGCGTTGTACCCTCGTTCCCCTAGGTCCTATAGGCAGATTATCTATTAGCAGCCTAATCTATTTACTACTTTTTTTAAGTACTTCTATATATTCGCAGTTTATATTAGGGCGTTACTAACTACACACCCCCTTTTCACTCCACGCACACCCCCTTTTCGCTACACGCACACCCCCCCCCTCCCCCGGTCACTTCACCACGATCTAATTGGCCCGGAGAGGCCGGAGGAAGCTCCGCTCATTCACTGTTATCACGTGCGCCAGCGCGCCGGCGAGCCGTAGGCGTAGCTGTACGTAAGGCAAGGCTGTGCAGCATACCCGTTTTACCATGCATTCTTCCCATTTACTGCAGCCGTATATACGGCCGTACGTGAAGCCGTATGTAAGGCTATACGTAAGGCTATATATAAGGCTATACGTATAGCTATATATACGGTAAGGCTGCGCAGCCTACCCGTTTTATTGTGCATACTTTCCGTTTCCTGCAGTGTATATAGGCTGTTGTATTGCTACCTACGTGCCTACACGCCTAGGATTATGCCTAAACTATCAAAACCTCACCTTATTACAGCCCCTTTGCATCATTCCTGGCCCTCCTCCATCGCCCCCGCCTCCATCGCCGCTTGATTCATATACTCTGCAAGCTCATCAGTCTCTCGGGCCCTATAGGCCGCAAGCTGGCGTAGTAGGTCCTCACGGCTAGGCCCTTCCTCCACCTGAGTCTGGGCGCTATCCTGCCGCTGTACTGCCGCCCGTGGTGCTGCCTTTGGCCGCGGTGCAGCTTTCTTCCGCGGTACCTTATCCTTTGAGCCCGCCGGCCGGCCACGCTTCTTGCCCGTAGGTGCGGCGGTAGGTGCGGGCCTAGGTGCGGGCCTAGGCACTACTGCATGCTGAAAAAGGGCTGGATCGATGAGAGAAACGTCAAAATCCGTGCTAGCTGGTGTAGCCGTCGACTGAGGAGCACTCTGAGCGACAGGAGCTGGACGGGGGGCTATAGAAATAGGCGGTCCTGGCGTCGGAGGTGTCGGCATGCGTCTAGGGGGCATGCTCGTATGTCCACTCTGTCTGGTTTACTACGGTATTTTGCTAGGCCGTAGCCCTGCGCTGAGGCGTGCGCTTGTATAGCAGTATGCGCTTCCTCTGCCGTAGCGTAGTAGTCTAGCCGTGGCGGCTGGAGGGCCATGGTGAGAGGTGGAGGGAGTGTATTGTGGAGGATGAGGATGAGGATGTGATTGTTTGTGGCCACGCCGCATTTGGAGAGAGCATTTGGAATTAGTGAGCGACTTAAGCGAGCGAATCGGAGGCCCCGGAGCACCTCTCCGGGCCAATTAGATCGTGGTGAAGTGACCGGGGGAGGGGGGGTGGGTGTGTAGCGAAAAGGGGGTGTGCGTGGAGTAAAAAGGGGGTATGTAGTTAGTAACGCCCTTATATTACTAGTTATAATACTTACTTTTTTTTTAGGGCGCTATTAACTATACACCCCCTTTTTATTAAGGGGACTACTAATCGTACACCTTTTAATTCCTAGACGTATACCCCCTTTTTACTCTATATACACCCCCTTTTTTAGCACTTTACTACTTTCTAATTAGCTTAGAGAGCCCGGAGCTTCCTCCGAGTATTCACCCTTACGTCTCTCTACACGTAATGCTATACGCGAAGCCGTACGTAATACTATATATAAGGCCGTACGTAAGCTTATATATAAAGCTATATATAATACTATATATAAGGCTGTATATAAGCTTATATATAAGGCCGTACGTAATACTATATATAAGGCTGTATATAATACTATATATAAGGCTGTATATAAGCTTATATATAAGCTTATATATAAGGCTATATAAATTAGTATAATATAATTGCTTATATTATATATAGCCGCATTTAGAGAAAGTATTCGGAATTAATAAGCAAGTTAAGTAAGCGAATCGGAGGCTATAGAGCAGCCCTCTAAGCTAATTAAAAGGTGGTAAAGTAATAGAAGGGGAAAAGGTGTATATATAGTAAAAAAGAGGTATATATCTAGGAATTAGAGGGTGTATAATTAGTAGTCCCCTTTATTAATTATATACCCCTTTTCCTTTATTCGTATACTTTTCCCCTCTACCCTGCTGTTTTACCGCGTTCCTATTAGCTTAGAGTAGCGCGCCGGAGCCTTTAATTTACTTGCTTAACTTACTTACTAATTCTAAATACTTTTTCTAAATACAGTATAGTTATAAGCAATTATATTCTTATTTTTATCCTCTATAATACACTTACTATAGCCCTTTAGCCGCGGCTACTATAGCTATATAATACTCTAAAGAAAGCTAAGAAAGCGCTTATAAAGTATATAAAGGTATAAGGCTATAGCCTTATTATATACTATTTAAAAACTAATAAAAGCTCTATAAAATAAGGAAAATCTAGTTTAAATACTGCTTTATAGGCAATTTAGAGTCTATAGTATAAGTATACAGTACTTTTACTAATAAAGTAGACTATATAATAAATAGTATACTTACTTAGCAGCCTCCGGAGCTTAATAGTTTATATACTTAGCTATAGAAGATAATAGAGGAAGCTTATAGCAATTATCTGCCTATATTTAAAGCTATAGCAGCCGCCTATAATAGGAAGCGCTTAGTATCTATAAATACCCTTATTTAAATAGATATATCTAGCGGAACAAGGCCTAATAAAATATATATAAAGCTATTAAAGAAAGGGGTTACTATTATTATACAGGATATTATTAATAAGTAAAACCAATATTATAGTAAGCTTTTTAGCGGCCTTACGCCTATATAAGCCCTTTTTAGTATACTAGAAATATCTATATTTTCTGCACCTAATAGCTAAAAAAGGAAGTATATATATAGCTATATAAAAAATAACTAGAACTGTATTAAGCACCTTTTTTTTACGCACCCGGATTTTATTAAGATTTTATAGTCTAACTACAATATTATATTAATAGATTATACCTATAAAACTAATTAATTTAGTATACTATTCCTCTATATTACAGGTATTACCTATATAAGTAATAACTTTAAAATCGGCTACTATTTCCTTTCTAGAAAAAAGGAAGCTAACTATAACTAGGTAGTATAGCAGCTCTATAAGCTTTTCTAACGCTATTCTATTATACTACGCGTTTTATTAGGGCTTAAGGTTAGAATCGAAATAAGTTATATTAATATTAATAAAAGATAAATATAAGAAAGAAAGAGGTTTCTAGGTTTAATACTGTTATAAACTAAAGGTCGGAGCAATATTAATCTATTCTGCGGAGCCCTAATTATATAACTATCGGGTATGTGTTATATAAGCGAATATATAGCTATACTTACGGATACTAAGAAAAAACTCCACCGTATATAAAAAACTATAGACGAACGGAAGAACGCGCTATAGAAGGAACTAATAAAAGAGATAAAAAATATAAGAAAGAGTATTAGCGAGCTAAAAGCTTAAGGAAATAAGATATATATAGCTGCAGCAGTAAAGGCCCTAATAGTAATATAAATCGGGCAAGCTATATAAATTAGATAGGACGCGAGAATTAGATAGAATATAATAAACAACCTTTATAAAATCAATATTTATATCGAAAACAACGCCTAGTAAGCGGCTAACGCAATATATATAAACGACTATATTATAAAAAAGCTATAAGCGGCGGAAGAGCCGGAAACTATAAAAATTAGTAGTATTAGAAAGCTATAAAGTAGTAATATTAAGGCAATTATCGCGGATAAGCTATCGAAAAACGCCCTTTTAAAAAAGAAGAATTAGGTTTTTATTCTAGGCTCCTCCGCTGCTATACGTACGCTTACGGTGCTTATCGAAGTATACAGCGTGCCTAAGGAGATAGACCTTAATAACCTAAGTCTATAGAAGAATATAATAGAAAATAATATAACCTATAACCTAGAACTTATAATTAATAAAATTATATAGAAAAATAAGGCAGCTATTACTACGGCGCAGGTAAACCTAGTATAGTATGCAAGCTTAGCTATTATAGGCGTATAAATAGAAGCAATAGTAAATAATACTATTAATAATAGTATTGCTTAGGAAGGCTATATACTTAACGCCTTAAGGTATAAAGCAGGATTTACAGCTATACAGTGCTTTAACTGCCAGGGCTACAGGCACGTTGTAAAGTACTGTAAAAAGAACGTTAAATACGCAGTATATACAGGCGAGTATAATATAAAAGTGTGCCCGGATAAAACTATTAAGAAATGCGCAAACTGCAACAGAAACCACCTATTATATAGTACCGAATACACTATTTAAAAGAGGGCCTAGCAAAGGGCCCTTAATAAAAAATAGATAATACTACGCTAATATACTATAGAGCGTAATAAACTATATATATTCTAAGCGCAGTTATATAATAAATAATAGTACGTAAGAAAGATAGTTCTAAAGAAAAGGGTGTAATATATAGGGGAGTTTAAAATATAAGTAGAGAAGCCCTTTTTTATAGACTCTATAGCATCTATAGCTTCTACTATACCTGCACCCTTAAAGAGACCTAGACCTAGGCGGCTAAAAAAGGTATTTATAGCGGATAAGAACCAGCCCGCTATTAATAAGGTATTTAGAATTGGAAGTAGAACGCAGCCCGCCTAATTTACGCGACCTAACCAATTAGCTACGCTGCCGGAAGCATTATTATAGCTAGCTATATAAACTATATACGGCGGAGGCGATTAGCTAATATTAAGCGGAGAGGTTTAAATACTATTATTATAAGACAACCTAGCTAACTAATAGATTTACGCTAAGTAAAGGACCTAGGTAGATAACAGGCAAGCTAAGAAATAATAAGAGGACACCGAAATAAGCTAATATTAGAATAACCGAATAACCTTACTATTATACAGTATAACATCTATAAAAACTTAATAACTTAAAAGAAGTTCCTTAAAAAGGCGGAGAACGCTAGCCTGCAACCTATAGTACTAGCTATATAAAAACCGTAGAGGAACCTATATAGGCAGGGGTAGGGGTATATAGTATATATAATATATATAATAAAGTTATACTATCTACTATATATAGAAAAGGAATATATAAAAGCCTATATATATATTAATAAACAACTAAATATTAATAAGTAGTTAGTTATATACTACTTACTAGATTTTAATACTTTTTCCCTTTGCGCAGAGGAAGAGAGGATCTATATTTATAATATCTATAACCCGAACCCTAATAGTATTATATAGGAACTACCCCTACTGCTAAATAATACTAAAGCGGAATATATTTTTATCGGAAATATAAACCTATACTATCCGCTATAGAAAGGAGTTTAAGTTATATAAATTAAGGAGTAAGTAAAGGAGCTCCTCTATATTACGCGCAAAGCAGGTATAGACCTAGCTACGGAGAAAGGGCTAGAAATATAGGTAAAAGGAATATTATAGTCTATAATTAACCTTATATTTATAATAGAGTAGCTAATAGAATAAATAATTTCCTCTATAGTATAAAAGGAATAGAACTGCAACTCTAATTACCGGCTTATATATATAGAGTTTAATATCTTACTACTAAAGGCAGTTAAACCTCCGCAGTATAGGCTATAGAAGGATATAGTATAGAAAAAAGTATAAAAGAACCTAGTAATATAGCTAGATAAGCTAGAAACTTAAAATAACCTGCAGGAGATAGAGGAAAATTTTAATATATTTGCACACCGCTTATATAAGTATATATAAGCTATAATAGACGAAACTATACTACTTATAAAGCTATTAAAATAAGTATTACCTATATAGTTAATAAAGTGCACTAAAAAAGTGCAGGAGATAAAGCGGGCCTATAAAACCTAGCGCTTATTAAAAATAGTAGAGAACTGGATTTTATATAGAGTATAGTATAATAGAAAGAAAAGGGCTATATATAAAGAGAGTATAAAAGTATAGCACCACGCAGTAGATAAGATTATATCGGATCCGAAAAGCGTATAGAAGCTAGCTAAATAGGGCAGAACTATTAGAAAAAAACCACGGCTACCGCCTTAATTCCCTTTTTTTTTTACAGCCTAATAATATAACACTTTATATAGATAATAAAACTAAGGCCTAAATACTTATAGAATAGTTCTTTCTACCCTTTATAGAGGCAGACCTTTTTAATATTAAAGGATACTAATACCTAAAGCTATATAAGTCCTTATAAAATATTATAGTAGAAAATATCCTCTCTACGCTAATAGAAATAGCCCCGGATAAGGCCCCGGGTATTATAAAGATAACTAATAGAATTCTTAAAAAATGCGAAACGCAGCTAGT